GGTGGCTGGGTGTCCTGAGAGACCTCACTGAACAGTTCTTTCTTACCTCAGGTCTATGACCCCTTCCGCTTCGACCCTGAAAACATGAAGGGGAGGTCACCTCTGGCTTTTATTCCCTTCTCGGTGGGGCCCAGGTGAGGCCAGCGAGCTTCTGGGCGGGGATGGGGTGATGGAGGTGGGGGTCTGGGCACGACAGTGGAGAAGGGCACAGGGAGGCGTGGAGTTGTAGATGGTCAGAGTTCCAGCTCTCCTTCCCTCCCATCCTCCAGAGGTTATGGGTAAAGTTCTGGGGATGGAGTTTGGTGGGGTAAGTCCAGGAGGGGTCTGTGGTGTGCTCCACGCCCCCACCCCATATCTGCTATTCTGAGTTGGGGGCTGGATTCAGGGCCCAGCTCAGGGGATACACAAGCCCACGTGGGGGTCTCAGGCAGAGTTAACCCCCCTTTGTGCCCCTCAGGGTAAGCAGGGTGGTGGTCCTAGTCCAGGTTTCCGGTACGATGGGGCCCGGTAAGGGGGTCCTTCGCGCAGTCAGAGCCCCCATCTCGGCCCCCAGGAACTGCATCGGACAGACGTTCGCCATGTCCGAGATGAAGGTGGCCCTGGCGCTCACGCTGCTGCGCTTCCGCGTCCTGCCCGACGACGAGGAGCCTCGTAGGACTCCAGAGCTGATCCTGCGCGCGGAGGGCGGACTCTGGCTGAGGGTGGAGCCGCTGAGCGCGGGCCCGCAGTGATGCACCCACCGCCCCTTGGTCTGGGAACCCACACCGAGCTCACCCACCTACCTTTGCAGACTCCCAGGAATAAAACTGTGCTGTTGACTCTGCCTGAGCTTCACCGAGAGCAAGCAGGGGGCGCTGGGGGACCGCGGGGAATCCAGGGAGCAGGCACGGGTTGGTGGATGTGGGGCTGGTGTGTCTGAGCCCAAGACCCCGACTGCCTCTCTGGCTGACCACAGGGTCCCCACCCTGATGGCAGGTTCTCCCAGAGCCCAAGTATGGACTTTATCCTGCATTTGATAGGGAGTCATGGGAGGTGTTTGAGCAGGAAAGAGACCAGGGTTATGGATGGATTTAAGGAGCAAGACTGAGGCTCTGGTTCAAGAAGGAGAGCCAGTAGAGACAGAACCATTCGTCTGTGCTGTGGGTGTCTCCCAAGAAAGGACATGGCCAGCCCAGAACACAGGGGAGGAGGCCTGCAGCTTCCATCCTGGCAGCCTCTCCAGGATTCCAAGTTCCCTTCGTGCTCTTGCCAACGTCCCACCTCTGTCAGTTGTTTGCTTCTGTCAGGTCTCTCTGTGACCTCCATCCCCTACCTTCAGAGAGTCCCCTCCCTACTCCCTTCTAGGCCCCCTGGTGCTGCCCAACACTGTGGACAACCAATCCTGGCTGAGCACACACTGTCCACCAGTTGCCCTCACAAGAGTGTTAGGGGAGGCCTCATCCGCCACATTTCACCTCCAGGTTTCTCCTTCATTCCCATCACAGGACACACTGTCCCATCTTAGGGTGGGTTGGGGATAGAACCATCCTATTTGACACTTGAAATTCAAGGCCACACTATTGGAAAAACAAGTCACCGATCAACAGCATGAGATCTGGAGCCAGACTACTTGGGTTCCTCTCAGCTCTGCTGTGTGACTTGGGTAAGTTACTTCCCCTCTCTGTGACTCAGTTTCCTCAACCATATGAGGACAGCAGCCCTACCTATTTCAGGGTTGTCCTGAGGGGTACATGTAAAGGATTTAGAGCTGAGCCTTGTGCATAGTAAATGCACAATAAATGTGGCCATTGTTACTTCTCATAAAGTCTGGCTATTCAGGCACCTTACACTTCAATAGAGTTATTTCTGCTGTGACTGCTAAGACTGTGTCTTGGAAGTCAAAGGCAAGAATTCTAGTATTTGTGCTCATTGAGTGAGCTCTTCCCCCTTGAGCTGTGCATATAGGAGGCAATAGTTTCAGAATCTGCAGGGACGAGGGCACCCAGAAGTGCAAGGGGATAGGAGAATCCTCAGTTAATGTCTCAAATTATATCCTACTGTGAGCACTGATCTCTTTTCATAGCCTAAGGGCCTGCAACACTGAGTCCCTGGCTGACCCCTCCAATCTCCTCTCCAGCTGGTCTCCCTCCCTCACTGGGCCTAGATTCTGATCTCCTAGTAGACTCTGT